CCATGTGACAATGCTCTAATCTAACAACCAATCTTTAAGCCTGAGCACTGTCACATGGCCAAGGGAGTGATGCCACCGCTCCCTGCCTCCCTGAATAGGCAAAGAGACTGTTTCTCCTACACACAGCTTGAGGGATCGCGATGGATTATGTCAACGTTCTCCAGTCATTAAATCACTAAAGGTTTAAAGTACACTTTAAGGCTTCATTCCAACCTACACTTTAGGTGAGATTTGGTATTTCTGCATCAGGAACTTCCGATTTCCAGCAGCAGGAATCCCAGATTTGCTGTTTACAAGTGGCAACTGTTACTTGTTCATGTTGATGATCGGGTGGCAGTGGCCACATATGAAAGCAGCAGAATCCTGGCAAGCCACATGTAATCATATGTGATATGATTACATGCGGTTAGGAATCAACCACTATCCCTGGACACACGATCTTTAAGAATTGCCACCCTGCTACAGGAAGCCCATGTATTTCACAATGACTGGCAGGACCTCAAAGTTCAATTATTGGACAAGTACCTCTGGAATAGAAACAGTGGTCAATCTATATGCACAAATGCAAATACACATATATATATATTTTTAGACTCTGCATATACAGGTGAAACTCGAATAATTAGAATATCGTGCAAAGTTCATTTATTTCACTAATGCAACTTAAAAGGTGAAACTAATATATGAGGTAGACTCATTACATGCAAAGCAAGATAGTTCAAGCCGTGATTTGTCATAATTGTGATGATTATGGCTTACAGCTCATGAAAACCCCAAGAACCCCAAATCCACAATCTCAGAAAATGAGAATATTACATGCAATCAATAAAACAAGGATTGTACATAGAACAATATCGGACCTCTGAAAAGTACAAGCATGCATATGTACTCAGTACTTGGTTTGGGCCCCTTTTGCAGCACTTACTGCAATTACTTTTGCACGATATTCTAATTATTCGAGTTTCACCTGTACAGCATTATTCAAAATCTTTATCAACTCTACATATACAATTCTATATAATTAAACAATATATATGAAAGCACAACCCCATGCTACGGGTCGATTTTGGGGAGACGGGAACCCAGAGTTAGCCTCTAGGTGTAGTAGTCTACAGCAACCAATCAGTTTTAATTTTAAGGCTAAATTTTCTACAAAATATAAGACCAAACATGACAACAACAAAAAATCCTCAACAACTTGTTGCCACCTATGTGATGCACTACATGCTGGATTTCTGTTGCACTGTGCTTTGTCTTGCCCTATAATTGAACTGAACTATGCTTATATGCACATTTGCTGAGAACAAGCAAATCCTATAAAATCCTAGTCACAGCCTATAAAAGGTGATATCCATTGGATCACTAAGGCTTCCTTCTTTTGTCCTTTAGGTTTCTCACAGCTATTTATTTTCTTTTTGTATTTATTACAGGTACTTATATAGTACCAACAATTTATGCACCGCTTTACATAGTTGCACGTTAACATCAGTCGTGCCCTCAAGGAGCTTACAATTAAAGGTCCCTTGCTCACATGCATACATAGAGGGCCAATTTAGATAGGAGCCAATTAACCTTCCAGCATGTCTTTGGAGTGTGGGAGGTAACCGTAGTACCCGGAGGAAATCCACACAAGCACAGGGAGAATATGCAAACTCCTATTCACCAGTGTCCCCGATGGTATATTCTTGTGGCATATCTTCATGCAGTTGAAAAGAAGTCAGATTATAAATACAGCACATAGCTAGAAATTAGGGATGCACCGATACTGGTTTTTCAGTATGGAGTACGAGAACCGATATTTTTCTTTTTGGTACTCGTCGAAACCGAAAACTGTTAATGGAAGTCCCATTAAGGAAGCTGGGCAGCATGTAATGACTTGACGCCTGGCTTCCTGATTAGCCGGGAAGCCGCATCCATGCTCCCTCATCACCAGGTGATGAGAAAGTATGGAGCTAGGAAGCCGGGGGGCGGGTAATGACTTGATGCCTGGCTTCCTGATTTGTCAGCTTCTTGACCAATCAGGATGACCACAATCAGGAAGCCAGGCGGCGAGTCATTACACTGGCCATGAAGCCTGCTCCATGCTCCCTCATCACCCAGTGATGAGGAAGCATGGAGCCAGCTTCCTTGCTAATCAGGAAGCCGGGGGGCGAGTGCATCCCTACTGGAAATTGATGGGCAAATTTGCTGGGCTACAAGTTCTACCAGTCATCAAAAGCGTAAGCTCTTACCCAGTATAACAACTGTCCCAAATCTGTTGTAACTCTGCGTTTGATATGTATGCTATAGAAGAAAGCCTTCCTTGTATGATGTTATAGGAAGTAATAAAATACAGGTTCAAGATATTTCTCAAGATGCTGGAAAATTCTAATGAATGACAATGTGCACACATGTCCAATACACAGCATGACTTTATCAAACAACGATCAAACTGATCACATCACTGTTCCAGGAAATGCTGGACTATAATATTTAACTTGCAAATCCTCAAGTTTGAAAGAAGGCAAGTTAATACTATATCTACTATTTACTTTGTGACAAGGAAGTATTCTAAATATGTTTGAATATAGAGAGTCGTTGGACATTTCAGGGATATTTATCAACATTGAACAACAATTACCTGTCCAAGGTGACAAACGTGTTTCTTATTACAGGACTGATGTACAAGTTGTGAATACTTAATCTGCTCAATTTTCCCAGGACTAGGTCTCCTACCAATAAACTTGTCACATCCCCTGTGCACTTTACCCAGCACTTGGCATTCACGATGGGAGGAAGTAGGTCTTTATTTATCCAAGGAGCACAAGTTATAAGGATCTGTATGTGTACAATGAACATTGTATCGACCTTATCAAGAACTAGAGGGTTCGAAAATGCAATAGTCTCTTAAAATACATTCTAAACAGGCAAGTTTTCCAAAGCATGCTAAATTGTTTGCTTCCACCCAACAGCAGGCATGTTAACGGTAAGATAATACACTGGTTTGGCTAACACTGATGTGCTAAAGACCATCTGAAGTTCCAGTTTTGCAAAGCAGATTCACCTGTCAGTGTCTTATTTCTCTGGGAGCTGTTGCGGTGAAAGATTTCTGACAGAATTCTGCGTTCCACTCCAATCCATTGTAAAGCCTGATGATAGTATTACGCTCCCCCCCCCTGATGGATTCTCCATATAAGATAATCTAATAATTTGGGAATCCAGCTGAGACACAGTGACACCTTTGTTATGGCCTTCAGGAGGGGGCATATACTGCTACTGGGATATCTCGCTCCTGGAGTTTCTGTGAGATATAAGAAGCTGGCGAGTGATAAAATCCATCGCTGCCCAACCAATACTGAAATGTCAGTTTGATGTGCTTATGTGCAAAAGTGTCGGAAAGGAAGGGATCACCAGAAAGTACACACTCTGCTTATTTACCAAGACAGTGCCAAGTACAATAACCTATGGCAACAAATAAAAATTCAGTTAATACAATGAAATGATGAGATCTGATTAGTTGCCATCTAAGTATCAGTCAATACACTTGGCACTACCTTATTTAATAGGTATTCAGCAGTGCTATCACTACATTTAGTAGTTGTGATCCACATCTAGTTAGTTTGAATGGTCGGCATGATGTTGCAAAGTTTTACAGTTATCCCCTTTAAAAAGATCTGTGTATCATTTGTTGTAAATGTTAGTGTAGTTGCATAGAACAGTTTAAAACAATGTTACCTTCTCCATACAAGAGCTCACGTTTCAAAGGTTGTGTCTGTTACTTAAAGTGACACTAAACTCAGAAGTTAAATCTTAAAAATGCATTCAAGTATCCCAACTATTAACAAAAAATGTATCTTTTTTGTGTATCACTCGGGTGTAGATTCTCAAATCATCTCTGAATTGGTGCCGACACTGTCCTTACTTCTGGAGGGTGGCTACTTTTGTTCCCCATGGTTCCTGTGCGTGTCCTAATCTTGCCACTGCTCCAATCTCACTACTGTAATTACATAGTTACATAGTTACATAGTATTTGAGGTTGAATAAAGACATTAGTCCATCAAGTCCAACCTATTAGGATCTCATTCTAGGAGTACCTGTACCCCTGTATATTACGGTCCCTTAAGAAATCGTCCAAAAGTTTCTTGAACAATTCCACATTCTTTGCTGAAATCACTGTCTGTGGCAGTGAGTTCCAGACCCTAACTGATCTTACTGTGAAGAACCCCCTTCGCCCCTTGTGAAGAACCCCCTTCGCCCCTTGTCATGGACTACAATCTCATGTTTAGTTTACTGTTTTGTATTGAGATTGTAGCCCATCACAGGAGCAAGCTTGGATTGGTGGATACTTTACAACACACAAGGGACCATGGGGAACATGGACTCAGAGATGATTTGAGGATCTACAGCTGAGTGATGCACAAATAAGATACATTTTTGTTTTGTGTATCACTCGGCTGTAGATCCTCAAATCATCTCTGAATTGGTGCTGACACTGTCCTTCCTTCTGGAGGGGGGCTACTTTTGTATCCCATGGTCCCTGTGTGTGTTGTATAGTAGTCACCGCTCCAAGCTCACTCCTGTGATGTTTTACAATCTCATATTTAGTTTACAAATTCGTATTGACATTGTAGTCCATCGTGCGAGTGAGCTTGGAGCAGTGGCTACTTTGCAACTCACACAGGAACCATGGGGATCAAAAGTAGCCACCCTGCAGAAGGAAGGACAGTATCAACACCAATTCAGAGATGATTTGGGTATCTACTGCCGAGTGATACACAAATAAGATACCATTTTGTTAATAGTAATGGTCCAATTCAACTTGCACAGAAGATACAATAGAGGACACTTCTAGGTAAGGCATCATACATTTGTTCGGCCGACTACTCATCTTTCCTATATCCTAGTAGAAGACTATACATTTGCGGTTAATAAAGTCTATTTCAGTGGTAAGATAAGAAACGGTTTCTTTTATATCTATTTGAATATAGCAAATTAATAGTAATGTTCTGTAATATACTCACATAAAGACCACTGTGCTTGTCCCCAAAGAAAGTAAATGCTCTAGAGATAGATAATAATCCTGATCCACCATCGTCTTGTCTTCGGGTTACAGAGTCACCCTCTTCACGACCAAAGGGGTAGAAATCGGACAAAGGTACCAAGCCATGCCCAATGGAGAATACATACCACAGAAGCAAGATCTGGGCCAGTGAACCCATTCCCAGAGGTGAAAGAGCACACACTAACCAGAGTGATACTGCTGGACTTGGATAGTGTATGATGTCCTTTACTAATGTAGTGACCACACCAGACTGCCACTATTCAACCACTGGTGACTCTGTCCATTGGCTTGAAGTCTTATATTTTTCCCAGGACATAGTGCAACTGTATCATCTTTATGTTGTCTTCTATAGTTGTGCGGTTAGCTTGGGTTATAATTATCTCTACGCATTGGCAGCCTCACTGGTCCTTGTGATCTCCAGAGTGTTGCAAAGGATGTGAATTCTGTCAGTCAACGTCTATCTCTGGCAATACTCATCCAGCCATAACCAACAGAATCCTCTCTCTCTCAAACTGAACAGCCGCCTGTGCTAGCTTTCCCCTGCATTATCCCTCTTTAACCATTTCCCTGCACTAATATCAACCAATGTGTGCACGTACTATAGTCAACCAACAGGAAAATTAATCTGCCACTATACCATCTCTGACTTATGATGCCCCCACTCAGTCTGCCCCTCTCTTACCTCTACTGACCCTGAAGCAGCATGTCCATCTGATGCTCCTACCAATCCTAAACCAGTCTATTCCTCTGGTATCTCCACCAACCCTAAATCAGCCTGTCCTTCACTACTTCGTAACCAGTCTGTCCACTGAGACCTCTACCAATCCTGAACCCATCTGTCCCTAGACTAATTCTGAACCAACCTTTTCCCATACTAACCCTGAACTGGTCTGTCTATATAGTACCCCAACAACCATGATCTAGCCTGCCCTTCTAGTACCTCTACCAACCCTCAACCAACCTGTCCTTAGATTACCCCTATACCAACTCTGAACCAGTCTGTCTTTCTATTACCTCTACAAACCCTGAACCAACCTGTCCTTCTTTTACCTCTACCAACCCTGAACCAGTCTGTCCTTCTACTACCTCTACCAACCCTGAACCGACCTGTCCTTCTATTACCTCTACCAACCCTGAACTAATCTATTCTTCTATTACCTCTACCAACCCAGAACTAATCTGTTCTTCTATTACCTCTACCAACCCTGAACCGGTCTGTCCTTCTATTACCTCTACCAACCCCCGAACCAGAATGTCCTTTGTATCACTTCTACCGGCTTTAAACCAATCTTTCTCTTTTTTTTTTACCTCTACCAACCCTGATCAAGTCTGTCCTTCTATTACCTCTGCCAAGCTAAATCAACCTGTCCTTCTATTACCTCTACCAACCCTGAACCAGTCTGTCCCTCTGCTACATCTACAAACCTTGAACCCGTCTGTCCTATTACCTCTACCAGCCCTGAACCAGTCTGTCCTATTACCTCTACCAACCCTGAACCAGTCTGTCCCTCTGTTACCTCCACAAACCTTGAACCAGTCTGTCCCTCTGTTACCACTACCAACCCTGAACCGACCTGTCCTGCTATTACCTCTACTAACCCTGAACCGACCTGTCCTTAGATTACCCCTACCAACTCTGAACCAGTCTGTCCTTCTTTTACTTCTACCAGCCCTGAACCTGCTTGTCCCTGTGTGGACTACCAACCCTGAACCATCCTGCCCCTCTGTTACCTAACCCTGAACCAAATTGTCCTTCTGGTAAAGGTGAACCAGCCTGGCCCTCTGGTAGCCCTATAATTGGATGTCCTTATACCAACCCTGAGCCAGCCTACCCCTCTGGTACCTGTATAGTAGAATTCAGACCTGAAGCAGGTTGTCCCTCCACCATTCAGTGACAATGTCTCTGCATCCTCTAGCCATGCACTGATATGTCAGCCTTCCTCTACCATAACCCACATCCCATTTTGTCCCTGAGTTACCTTGCTGCCCTCCTGCCCCCCTTAGCCTGTTCCTCTATAGCAGCCGGCTGTCAATGGTCAGCTCCTATGTGTGCGCAGCTCTCCCCGGCAGTCCGTGTGGTACACAGCTCTCCCCGGCAGTCCGTGTGGTACACAGCTCTCCCCGGCACTCTCTATCCAGCTTCATGCAATCTCAGTCTGCCTGCGCTGCCTGCGGCTCACTGACACTGAATTCTCTGTTCAGAACTTACTGGGGGGCTCTGTCCCCTCCCCCATTACTCTAACAAACCCCCCGGAATGAGCGGTGGGGGCCCCTACCAATCAGCTGCAGCCCTGTCCGTGCTGACGCCGACTCTTAAATAGCCCCGGAGGGCCGAACGTGAAGAGGTTAAAGTCAGAAGTTTGGAGAGGAGCTCAGGAATGTGTGAGAGTGTGAGCGCAAAGCATGCCGGGAAACCGAGTCCGCGGACTGAACGGGATAGACCAGCGCGGGGCTGAGGATGCTGGCGATGGGCAACCCCTGCACACTGCTGAAGGGGCACGACTGACACCCCCCAGCGAACTGCACCTGGTGCAATAATGCTCCTGCACACTGCCCTGGTGCAAGACTGCACCCCTCTCCGTACAAGCAAGACTGTGCAAGGGTGACCCACCTAGCTCACTGCTCTAGGTGCAAGACTGACTACTTCCCAGCTAACTGCTCCTGGTGCAAGACTGCCACCCCTAGCTCACTGCTCTTGATGCAAGACTGACACCTCCGTCTTACTGCTACTGGTGCAAGACTGACGCCCCCCCAGCTCACTGCCCCTGTTGCAGGACTGACCCCCCTCTGATC